ATACATACAAAGTAAATCATACATAGGGTTCAACAAGCATCATACATACACTACACTCACCATCATACACACAGCCCACCGTAAACAGTACACAAGCCACCTTACACTTACTTGCACACATAAACGCACAGGGAAAAGAAATATGCAGGTATATTCACACCCCTAATTAGCATAGTCGAGATGGGGTATATGCGTCTAAACCACGACATATACAAGTAGACTGGCTAGGGAGATGATATATTCCTGCTTGATGCTTTGTCGTGACGCCTCAACAACGCAGTATACCATCTCCCCTGGGTGGGAATGAAGACATAAACAGATTTTTTTTTTTACGGTATTTGATATTTCATAAAACAAATAAGAAGAGTTTAATTCTTACTCACAAACAGAGTAAATTTGGACTTGAGAGTGAAGTGAGATAGTGAGTCTTTGAGTGGAACTGAAAGCAGAGAGTAAAATTATTAGTCCTTCGTTTTATTTCACTTGATGTAAATAACAGTGAAAAAAAAACCAAAATCCATACAGACAGCTCAATCAACAAACACACTCATTTGTTTCTGTTTATCGCAGTTAGGATAAGACTAAGAATAAGTAATTAAAATAAATTATACTGAAATTTAAAAATGATTTGAGCTTTTCCTTATAGAATTTGAAACTGAACTAATTTTCGGGGGCTTTTTTTTTATACTGATAAAATTTCTTCAATCACACGGAAAGTCAAGTTAGTTACGCGAGCTTTATCTCCCTCCAGCACCAGCCGTTCTCCACCACCGTTTCAGGGGACACAAGAGGGTATATGTATATAATATAAAAAACAAAGTAAAAGAATAGAGGAGGAAAAACAAAGTGAGGTTGCATGTGTAATCTCTATTGATTTGGTCTGGGAATGACAGAACTCCGGCCGTCCATCAACCGGCCAGCACTCCACACTGCCAATTTACTCCCAATTTATGAGCCGGGGAAGGTGATTTGTGGCCGGCATTACTGATGATTGTTTTGCTGCGGAAGAGAGGAGAAAGAGGAGGAGTAAAGGGGAAGGGGGAAACAGACACAAGAATAAACGCAACATGCTGGTGATATTTAGCCACTAACTCTTCCTCTTCATCTTTCTCCCGGGCCCTTCCGTACACCTGCCCCCCACTCCTCCTCCTCCTCCTCCTCCTCCCCCTCCTCATCTTCACTTAAGAAGATCACAAGGAATTATTATTTAAAACAGACGAGAGATTTGCTTTGAGGTTATTGTTACGATATTCACGGAAGGTTTTCCCGCCACTGAAGAGATGATGGAGGTGGATGACGACACGACACAACACGACACAGTGGCTAACATGAACGGAAGCTCTGTTCGTTATTGTGATCGTATGTCTCATTACAGGAAAGCAGAACATAATTTTTTACATTGTAATGATACCAATCTTATTTCCGAATTTAATCCTGTACAGCGAGTATATAATTTATGTTAAACTTTCCTAAAAAGAAAAAAAAACCCCAGCTATTATTAAACCAATTACAAGACCCTTATCATTCCGTTTCTATACCACAACAGATAACGGGAAATGTTGTGTGAATATCGGTTATATCGGCTCTATAAACTTAGACTATAACATTATAACATAGCGGAGGAATAGAATATAGAATAAATAATATACTGTAAAATTATTCATATATATTCTCCTTTGTGTAACTGCTACCTGATCAACAAAGCAAATGAGAGAAAAGAAGATTTATTTATAATATATATAGATGCTCCCTGATACACCTATAGTAGATTAAGTAGTGACAGGGGATAGTCTTCGAGTCTTCCCTTGACGAGAAAAATTTTGTCGTGAATATAAAAAAAAATTAATTGTAACATAACAACCCGACTTTTTCTAATTGTCTGGTTTAATCTAAAACTAACCTAACCTATGTTAACCTTATTTTTTATCTGATTTTAATCCATTTTAATCTCATCCTTATCTATTCTAATTTAATATTAACTCAATCTAACCTCTCTTCATGTAATCCTCACTTAACCTAACCTTATTTAATAAAATTTAACTTAGGAATGCTTAACAAAGTCACTTTGCCTTTAAATTATCCAAAACTGACTTAACCTATTTCGTCATAATGAATCGATAGGTGGTAAAGGAGTCGCTGCTCCATCACCTGAATACATACGACAAGAACTATAGTTGACGAGTCTTCTGCGATACGTAACGAAAGACGCTTCAGTACTATTCACCCTACTGTTCATGGCATCAAAACATTTATAAAGTAGCTTGGGATGGGTTTGTTCGGTCTCTCTGGTTGTACAGTACATCAAGACAGTCGTAATTATCAACGCGTTGCAGATATCGAGAATGGAAAATCTTGAATGGTCTAAAATATGAAGCAAACAATAAGATATCTAAAACATATCGATTAATTATTTGTGGATGAGAACTTCATATCAAAGCGGGTGATAAAATATCTGTAAAAAGTTTTAATTAACATTATGAGGCATAGAATGTGACAGTGTAAATAATTGATTATCAAGATCATTAATTATATTTTCTCAAACATAAGACACGTGCATAATTAATTTATTGAGCTAGCGATGGACTACAACACTACAACACTGGCCATATCTTCACTACAACACTGGCCATATCTTCACTACAACACTGGTTATATCTTCACTACAACACTGGCCATATCTTCACTAGAACACTGGTTATATCTACACTACAACACTGGTTATATCTACACTACAACACTGGCCATATCTTCACTACAACACTGGTTATATCTTCACTACAACACTGGTTATATCTACACTACGACACTGGTTATATCTACACTACAACACTGGTTATATCTACACTACAACACTGGTTATATCTACACTACAACACTGGTAATATCTACACTACAACACTGGTTATATCTTCACTACAACACTGGTTATATCTACACTACAACACTGGTTATATCTTCACTACAACACTGGTTATATCTTCACTACAACACTGGTTATATCTACACTACAACACTGGTTATATCTACATTACAACACTGGCCATATCTTCACTACAACACTGGTTATATCTACACTACAACACTGGCCATATCTTCACTACAACACTGGTTATATCTTCACTACAACACTGGTTATATCTACACTACAACACTGGTTATATCTACATTACAACACTGGTTATATCTACATTACAACACTGGTTATATCTACACTACAACACTGGTTATATCTACATTACAACACTGGTTATATCTACACTACAACACTGGTTATATCTACACTACAACACTGGTTATATCTACACTACAACACTGGTTATATCTACACTACAACACTGGTTATATCTACACTACGACACTGGTTATCTCTACACTACAACTCTGGTTATATCTACACTACGACACTGGTTATCTCTACACTACAACTCTGGTTATATCTTCACTACAACACTGGTTATGTCTACACTACAACACTGGTTATATCTACACTACACCACTGGTTATATCTACATTACAACACTGGTTATATCTACACTACAACACTAGTTATATCTACACTACAACACTGGTTATATCTACACTACAACACTGGTTATATCTACACTACAACACTGGTTATATCTACACTACAACACTGGTTATATCTACACTACAACACTGGTTATATCTACACTACAACACTGGTTATATCTACACTACAACACTGGTTATATCTACACTACAACACTGGTTATATCTACACTACAACACTGGTTATATCTACACTACAACACTGGTTATATCTACACTACAACACTGGTTATATCTACACTACAACACTGGTTATATCTACACTACTACACTACACACACTGGTTATATCTACACTACAACACTGGTTATATCTACACTACAACACTGGTTATATCTACACTACAACACTGGTTATATCTACACTACAACACTGGTTATATCTACACTACAACACTGGTTATATCTACACTACAACACTGGTTATATCTACACTACAACACTGGTTATATCTACACTACAACACTGGTTATATCTACACTACAACACTGGATTATATCTACACTACAACACTGGTTATATCTACACTACAACACTGGTTATATCTACACTACAACACTGGTTATATCTACACTACAACACTGGTTATATCTACACTACAACACTGTTATATCTACACTACAACACTTATATCTACACTACAACACTGGTTATATCTACACTACAACACTGGTTATATCTACACTACAACACTGGTTATATCTACACTACAACACTGGGTTATATCTACACTACAACACTGGTTATATCTACACTACAACACTGGTTATATCTACACTACAACACTGGTTATATCTACACTACAACACTGGTTATATCTACACTACAACACTGGTTATATCTACACCACAACACTGGTTATATCTACACTACAACACTGGTTATATCTATACTACAACACTGGCCATGTCTACACTACAACACTGGTTATATCTACATTACAACACTGGTTATATCTACACTACAACACTGGTTATATCTACACTACAACACTGGTTATATCTATACTACAACACTGGCCATGTCTACACTACAACACTGGTTATATCTACATTACAACACTGGTTATATCTACACCACAACACTGGTTATATCTACACCACAACACTGGTTATATCTACACTACAACACTGGTTATATGTACACTACAACACTGGTTATATCTACACTACAACACTGGTTATATCTACACTACAACACTGGTTATATCTACACTACGACACTGGTTATATCTACACTACAACACTGGTTATATCTACACTACAACACTGGTTATATCTACACTACAACACTGGTTATATCTACACTACGACACTGGTTATCTCTACACTACAACTCTACCGAGGCTCCATTCTTACTACATTTTCGTCCACTCAAATAAATCGACTTCCTCGGTATTTCTCGTCTGTTAAAAACTATTTATTCTTAGTTATGTCCCATTCACTTAATAAGCTCCCCAAGCCAAAAGGTAGACAATGCAAACGCCCTCTACCTCAGTCCGACTCAGATGATGATGAACCGTGCAAGAAAACACAAAAATTAGAAGAAAATTCACCCATGAAGTCCATCGATTCTAATGGCAGAGGATGTAAACGCCCTCTACCTCAGTCTGACTCAGATGATGATGAACCGTGCAAGAAAACACAAAAATTAGAAGAAAATTCACCCAAGAAGTCCATCGATTCTAATGGCAGAGGATGTAAGCGACCTCTACCTCAGTCTGACTCAGATGATGATGAACCGTGCAAGAAAAAACAAAAATTAGAAGAAAATTCCCCCATGAAGTCCATCGATTCTAATGGCAGAGGATGTAAACGCCCTCTACCTCAGTCTGACTCAGATGATGATGAACCGTGCACGAAAAAACAAAAATTAGAAGAAAATTCACCCATGAAGTCCATCGATTCTCATGGCAGAGGATGTAAGCGCCCTCTACCTCAGTCTGACTCAGATGATGATGAACCGTGCAAGAAAACACAAAAATTAGAAGAAAATTCCCCCATGAAGTCCATCGATTCTAATGGCAGAGGATGTAAACGCCCTCTACCTCAGTCTGACTCAGATGATGATGAACCGTGCAAGAAAAAACTGAAATTAAAAGAATGTTCTTCAGAGTCTTTCGGTAGTGACGTAAAGTGGGGTAAGAAGAATTCGAAGAGGGTAGGACGCCCCCGGTTAGGTATGGGCCAAAGGATAGAAGCCGAGGGCTGCCCAGTCATCCGTCCTGAGGATCTAAAAATTGGCAAAAAGTTGGGTAAAGGAGTTTTTGGCACCGCTTACTAGGGCACCTTAACCCTCAAGAACGGTGAGACGATTCCTGTAGTGATCAAAGAATTAATTAGCCTCTACTTTTACGACATAGAAGACACATCAGCTTTGTACGAGGCCCGGTTATTGCAGAAGTTAGGGGGTATCGGTGGAATTCCCAAACTCTATGGTGTTTTGAGGTCAATAGAAGGCGTTAAAATTTCAACGTTAATCGTTATGGAATATTGTCCGGGCTAGGTTTATAATAAGTTCATTTTAAGTGCTGACGTAAAGAGCAGTCTCCTTGTTTTTTTGAGGATAGCTCTGGCTATTGGAGAAGTTCATAAGGCAGGGTTCGGACACGGTGATATCCACGGTGGTAATATAATCATTAGCGACGACCCTACTGACCCACAAGTCCGGCTGATTGATTTAGGACTGGCTTTCCCGTTATCTCTTAGAAATCCCCGTGATATTCCCTATCGGTTATTCGATTATGAGTGCCTACGTCTCACGACGATGCGTAAACCGAATGTTCAGAGCATAAGTCCAGAAGAAGAACTCTTCTATGAAAAAGCCCAAGAAACAGAGGTGAGTACCAGCAATCTCTGGGACCTCATTATACTTGCCATACATGCCCTTCAAGTGTGAGGATAACAGCCCGCCAGCCACGTGGTCCACTCACCCAACCACCTGATGAAGTTGGGCAAGAACCTGAGGAGAAACACCGAACGCAGTGATGTAAGAAAGACAATAATAATATAGTAATATGGAAAGAGAATTAGGTTAGTTGGAGTCAGGACACCGGAATGGAAACACTGGAGTTGTGGGATGTCGGTGAGGCAGTGTTGGTACTTGGTGTCTTAGGACTGAGAAGATCGTAGGACGCGAACAGTGCAGCGCTGCAACCGTGGCCGCAGAGACGAAGAGAGAGAGAGAGAGAGAGAGAGAGAGAGAGAGAGAGAGAAAGCACGCAGTCGAAAGGAAATAGTGTAAATGTGAGAGGTTTATCCTGGCCATCATCATCAATATCACGAGTAGAGTCCGGATGGTTAGGCAATTAAGATCTTAAAAAAAAGTCGGCAAATAACCAAGATAAATAGCTGAAACAAGCAAAAATTGGCACCTAAGAGAAAATTATACATACATTTTGCATAATATTAGTCAAAATAAATGATAGTTAACCATTCCAATCTCTTTTCTTCTATGTTTGGGAAATTTCTCTTATTGTAGTAGCTCTGTGTCTTTGCCATTCCCTGGCTGTTGTTGGTTTTTCTTTCGCGTCGCGGGGAAAAAAGGACAGGAAAAAATTCACAGAAAAAGTCACAATTTTGCCTAGAATTCTTATTTTATTTTATTTAAATAGCAGTAGTTAGGTTAAGTTAGGTTGGATTAGGTTTAGTTAAGTTGGGTTAGGCTAGGTTAGGTTAGGTTATCAAGCGAAGTGAAGAATATTTAATATGTGGGTGAAAAGGAAAATATATTAGGTTATGCTCCAATAAATCTTATTGCCTTACTAAACTCAACATAACCAATTAGTAGTCAGTTGGGTAGCCTACTCTTGTTGTTCTTCAAGCTTGTTCTGTTTGTACCAAATATTCAAGTTTGCCCTGTATTACTTCCCCATTGTCTGCGTTTTCTACAGCGACTGAGTTAAATATAGGATTAGTCTACTACGACTGCTATTGCTGTTGATACTGCTGCAACTACTTCTGTTGCTACTACTGCTAATACTACTATTACTACTGCTACTACTATTACTACTACTACTACTATTATTGTTACTGTTAATATTCCTACTTTTTTTTAAACGTGGCCTCCAGCCTCCCCCAATAGCCACACCTTCGCCGCCATTTTATTACCTTAAAATTAGATATCCTAATACATAAGTAGCTACCCTAGCTGTGTTGAGTTAGTTGAGCCGCAGACCTATGCAGCATTCAGTGACTTTTGCCTCATAGTCAATATCTTCGACTGTTGTCGGCTTTGGGGCCGATGCTCTCGTTCCCCTGAGGCAAAGCAATGAAGACCTAAGCAGAGAGAAGGACAGTCGACATCTCAACCAGGCTGTAACATAACTTCTGGGCTGCTGCTTTCGTTCAGATAACACCTCCGCGAGTCTGGCGTAGAAACATCTTGCACTTGGTCCCATCCCACCAGAGGTTGTGAACACTAGAGGAGAAAGCTGCTCTGATCAACATTTTGAATTCTCTCCCCCTCTCCATATGCCCTGATCTTGTCATTTTCGTTCCTCCTGTGTGCAGCATCCAGAGCTAGGTTACGGTCACATGCTGCAATGGAATCGAAAATCCTTATGTCAAAGAAGTCTCGCAGTCCCCGCGTCCACATCCTCGAGCACTGACGTCTACACTGGCTTCGTTGGATGTGTTTGAAGTCATATGACGGAGGTTCTCACCGTCCAATGGAAGAAGGGGCGTTTCCACCATGACGTCGTGGCAGATTTCCTTCAGTAGATTTGCTGTTAGATCTCTTACTTCGTCATGCCTCATGCATACGAAGCCTCCATTTCTTGCAC